CATCATTGATTGGCAAATCTTACGTGATATTTGAAGCTGTAATTTCTTTCATTAACAATATATTAAATATTTTCTTAAAATAATATTTTAAGTAGAAATTATTAATCTAAAAAAAATTGATTATTGTAAAAATGTGAAGTAAATTGTTATAGAAGGAGAAATAAAAGAGAAAGAAATCTACTATTACTAATGAATCACTTTTTTTTCATAAGGTTAAAAATATATAATAGCACTTTAAACAATTGAAGTAGTAGAATATACTTTGCAAAATAATCTTTGAAAACCCTTTAAAAATAAATAATTACTTATTTTTTAATATAAATAATATAATAAAATAAAGTATATATATGATTTTTCATTATATTTGAGGTAAAAATCTGATGCACATATATAATAAAATTATTTCTTATATATAAATATATAATTTTTTTTACAAATTCATTTTTTCAAGTATTATTTTAATATATTATATAACTTTTATTTATAATTAGTATGTAATACATAAATTTTTTAGTATTTTTTATAATAATTATGAAATTGTTAAATTTTACTTTTTTTCTATGTAAAATCATACTAATCTTAGCCAAATTGCCAATTAAATACATTTATATTTTATAAATTAATGTTCTTTATATTAGTAAATATCAGATATTTATAATACTTATTAGGTAACCTTGAATAATAATATGAAACTTATCTGATTTTTATTATCACATACTAGGATTTATAAGTTAAATATCATATAACATTAGAAAGATCAATTCTTATCTAATATGTTTATTAATTTTTAAATAAATATCAATTCTTAATTTATCTTGATATTAATTTAAAAGTTAATATTTTATGTTATTTCATTCGATTAATAATAATATAATTTATATTTTTTGCTATTTATTTTATTAATTTTTTATTATATATATACTTTTAATAAAAATTTTAATATTTAAATAAATTTTTAGTTTAAATTATTTTTTAGCAATATACACTCCCTTTCAAAAAATATCTGACTATCCAATTTTTTTGATATTTTATACTAATATCTTATTAGCTATAAATATTAGAATGATAATTTATAATTATATATTAATTTTTAGAATTTAATAAATATTTTAAACATAATTTGATATCTGATTAATAAGTTCAATTTTGTAAAAATCAGTAATCTATATTTATAACTAACATATAGTAAATTTTCAATCATTAAACAAAATTTTAACCAAGCTAGCTATATAACAAAACCCATATTATTTATTTTTGCCTTACTTTAGGAGAATCAGTATATCAAATTTCATAAATATCTGATATTTCTCAGCAACTACTGATTGAATCTTTATAAAATTTGGTATATTAATTCTTCTAAAGTAAATTAATCATATATATGAAAGGCTTTATTATAGCTAATTTGGCTACAATTTTATTCATGGTTGAAATTTTACTAAATGCTAATTACAGATGTAGATCACTGATTTGTTACAAAATTGGACTTATTAATCGGATATCAAATTATGTTTGAAATATTTATCAAATTCCAGAAATTAATATAAAATTATAAATTATCATTCTAGTATTTATAGCTAATGAGGTTTTAGCATAAAATATCAAAAAGTTAATTGGTCAGATATTTTTTGGAGAAGAGTGTAAATATAGTAAAAAAAATAATTGAAACTATTGAACTATTATTATTTTATATTAAATAGTATATACTTTTTCAAATAGCTAATTCTTTACTTTTTAAAATATAAATTCTTTATATATTTTTTATTTATTTATTTATAATAAAACTGTTTTTTCTTTACCAATAAGTTATTACTACAAAAAATCAATTATTTCACATTAAACTATTATAATAAATCAATATAAAAATCTGTAACATTACAAATATTAACTCTTCATTAAATAGTGAAAATTTAAAAAAATTAAATAAAAACTAATAATAAGCTATTAATATTCAATATTATATAATTATTAGCTTTTAATACAAATTATTATATAATATTATTTTATCTTAAATAAAATGATTAATTATTAAAGTAATATAATTAATTAAATCTAAATAATAAGCCTAGATATTTTATATAATAGGATATTTAGTAAAAGTAATTAAATATCATATTAATAATAAATATATTTTTTTTATAATAATTAAAGATTTAAATGATATTAAAAACTACATAAATCAACATTAATCGTTGGATCTACATACTATTATTTATTAAAGTTGATCGTTGATCGAAAATTTATGTTATCCAGAAAGTAATGAAGAAAAGAAGAAGAAATTTTTTATATGAACATTATAAAGTTCTAACGAGACATTTAATAATACAACGTTAATGGAGGAAGATATCACCGAAGTACTTCAATATAATCGCGAGTTGCAAACGAATCTACAAAAAAAAATTGGTGCTGTTGAAGCTGCGATTGCAAAAAATATTAACCTTCAGAATAAGCTGAGACGTCTTAAAAGGAATGGAGTTGCTACGGAATCAGCTGAGACAATTGATTTTGGACCACCATTTTTTATAGATATTGATGGTAAAGTACCACCTAATAATGATGATATTCGTTTAAGAGAACGTCCCAAAAAGTTTAAACCCATTAAATGGCTCCAACATGAAAAGGAAGCGTTGGCACGAGGTGTCCGTGATCAAAATTTCCGCAGAGAATGTCTTAAGGCTATGCATTCAGGCCAAAATTTAGAATTGATGCTTGAAAAAGATGCACAATATTTCCTTATTAATGTTGAAGGGCTGGATTGGTGTGAATTATCTAAGCAATACGTCCCAAACAAGACACCTGAAGAATGTATAATTCAATGGACAACTCATGAGCACCCAAGTATTAACAAAAGTGAATGGACAATTGCAGAAACTAAAAAATTACGTCAGATTGCATCACGTAACAAAAATCGTAACTGGCAACGAATCGCAATGGAATTAAATACAAATCGCACAGCGGCGGATTGTTTCAAACAATGGAATAAACAAACTAATGGCCCACGTAAATGGTCAAAAGAAGAAGATGAAATATTAGCTCGTGCTGTTGATTTATACGGTGAAAAAAATTGGCAACAAATTGCGGGTTGTCTTGAAAACCGAACGGGACAACAATGTCTTCACCGTTGGACAAAGACAATGAATCCAGCTATACGACGTGGTAGATGGAAGACGGAAGAAGACGAAGCTTTAAAAAATGCTGTGAGTATGTATGGTGTTGGAAATTGGGTGAAGATTCAAAAATTTGTCTTGGGAAGAACTGATGTTCAATGTCGTGAACGTTGGATGAATGTTTTAAGTCCTGCTATTAAAAAAGATCCTTGGACAGAAGAGGAAGATAAAGAATTAAAGAGATTAGTGAGGTTAATTGGTGTCGGTAAATGGTCTAAAATTTCTGCCGAAATAAATGGTAGAACCGATAACCAATGTTGGCGAAGATACAAAATTTTGATGAAACAAGACGAAGATTTTGAAAGAGAAAGGGAATTCACAATGAATACTCCTCCCAGTGAACTTAATTTGTACCCTAGGTACCCACAGTAAAAAAAACATTGATGTCTTCTATACAAATTATGGATGATTTGAAATAGATATTGTGCATATACTTCGATTGAATTTAAACAAGAAAAAGAAAAAGAAAAATGTATTTCGATCACGCAAAATCCTTTTTTAAAAAAATCACAAATCAATAAATGGAACTATTTGCATTCGAAAAAATTCTTTGAAATCATAATCATTGAATGTAACTTACGATGAATTATTTTATAAAAAAAATATGGGAGGTTTTGCAATTAAAATCACGTTACGGATCATACATAGTAATTAAATGTTGCCTCGATGTGATTTCTTTTGTTTGATAGCTATTCGTGCCAAGTCATTTAAACCGAAATCCATCTACTAATTAATAATCTTTATAAGCAAGTTCTCTTTGATCATCTTAACTTTATTCTTTTTAGTATTAACAATTTTAAAAATGCATAATAAATCAAATAGAATTCCAAATGGAGATATGATAATTATCACTTCTTTAAAAAGGAACGAATAGTCCCATTTCTTTTATTTGGAATTATTAGTTTATTCAGTATGACATTTTATCAACGATTGAGAACCGTATAAAAATATATATTTATTTATATGAACAAGAATTAATTCTTTGCAGACTTCTCAGCCTTTTTAACCTTCTTTGTTTTCTCTACCTTAGATCCTCCACCATATTTTAAAAGATATTCCTCTTCTTTCTTATCATCGATTCTTTTAAAAAGATATTCAGCTTTACCAAGTTTATGTCCAGGTAAAATATCAATAGTCCAAGTATCAGGTATATTTCTAAGTGGTACATTTAATTGTCTACAAATAGATTGGGTAGTAGAAGGCATATAAGGAAAAAATAATGCAGATAAAAGATAAATTAAATTAATAGCAACACCAATAACAGTAGAACATTTTTCATTATTATTTTGAAATAATGAATTATCTAATTTTGATTCTTGCAAATAACCATTTCCTAATCTTGAAATTTCCATAGCAACTTCTAATCCTGCACGCAATTTAGAATTTTCTAATGATTCAATATAATTTGTCAATAAAACATTTGTATTTTCTATAAAATCATTTTCTTCTTTTTTGTCGTAAGAAAATTCTGGAACAACACTCTTAAATTTTGATGCAGCAAATTTGATTACTCTATTGACAAAATTTCCTAAATTTGCGAGTAATTCATTATTATTTTTTGTAATGAATTCTTTCCATGTAAATATTGAGTCGCTTGTTTCAGGTCGACTTGAGATCAAATAATATCTCCATACTGAAACGGGGATACCAGTATCTTCAGCATCTGTACCAAAAACTCCGACATTGCGTGATTTAGAAAATTTTGTATTTTCATAGTTTAGATATTCTGCGCGTACAAAAAAAAAATGCGGGAGCAATCAATTTTTTTAACTCTATGAAATTTAAAATAGTGACATGTAACTCTGGCTCACCTGTTGTACTTATATGATGTAAGTATGTCCATTCTTCATTTGTACCCAATAAAGAACATGGAAATATAACGGTATGAAATGCGACATTATCTTTTCCCATAAATTGATATAATTTAACATCTTCAGGGTTCTTCCACCATTTTTTCCAATGTGGAGTGTAATTTGCAGTAATTGATAAATAACTAATAAATTTTAGATTTTCTATTAAAAAAATAATAATAATATTTCCAAGAAAACAATATATCACTTACCCAATCGGAGCATCAAACCAAACATAAAATACTTTATCTTTCATTTCCTCGAGTGGAACAGGAGTTCCCCACCTAAGATCTCTAGTAATACAACGAGGTTTTAACCCTTCCCGAATCCAAGATTGTGTAATTGTCTTACTATTAGTTGACCATTTTCCCTCTACACTAGTTTTTTCTACCCAACCTTCAAGACGTTTTTGTAAATTTGTTAAATCTAAAAACATATGATTTGACTCTTTCTTAATTGGTTGATTTCCATCTATTTTACAACGTGGATTAATTAATTCATCCGCATTCAAAAGTTGTCCACACGAATCACATTGATCACCTCGAGCATCCTAAAATAAATCGAAGATATGATTGATAATTTTTGTTAAGAAATAATAAAATAAACAAGTCATTCATTCTTACAATATAAGAACATTTTGGACAAATTCCCTCAACGAAACGATCAGCAAGGAATCTACAACATCGAAGTCACTGGATATTAATAAACCTTTTATTAAGACTAATTATTACAATTTTATCTTACCTCTGACACTTTTCGCAAAATAATTGTACCATTGTTTCTTCAGAAAGGTATCCATTTTTATAAAGTTTCAAAAATATGTCCTGAGCAATCCTAATGAAATCAAAATTAAAAGATTAAGCCACAAAAAATTTGTAATCAGACGAATTCTAATTAAATCAATCAATATCTTACTCAGTTTGTTGTTGAGTAACGGTTCTACCAAAATAATCAAATCCAATTTCAAACCACTTATAAACTTGACTATGGATGGCATGGTATTTATCGCAAAGTTCTTGACAAGTAATTCCTTCTTCAAGAGCTTTTGTTTCGGTTGCTGTACCATATTCATCTGTACCACATATAAAAAGTGTATTATATCTTCGTGCACGAGAATATCTACAGATAAAATTTTCAGTTTCTAGTTCAAAGTATTTTCTTTTATGAAAAAAAAAAGTATTTTTTTGAAATAATTTTACCTGGCGAACACGTCCGCGCTCAACACACTACCAATAATATTTCCTAAATGAGGAATATTATTAACGTAAGGTAATGCACTAGTGACCAAAACATTTCTCTCTCCTTTAATAGGTTCTCTATTTATAAAATGTAAGTGTTCTCATTATTAAACTGACCAAAATAATGTTAGTTCCTTGTTTTAATAAAAACCTATTTTTATCTTTATCAAATTTAAGAATCACGTCCGGAATAATATTTCGTTCGGACTCATTTGTTGACATTTTGTTCTTTCAAATTTTTTTTTTATATCGATATTTGAATTTCATCAAAAAAAAAGAAAATCGTTTGATAAATTAGTCTTGAATCGTGTTACCATGATTAGCTATTTTTATAGATTTATTATTAATCATTATTTAAATCAGTTATTTTAGTTAAAGAATATTACATATTCAAGAGAAAAGGTTATATTAAGGTTTCAGAAAATTTTGTTATACATTAAAATAGATCCTTAACTGGTCCTTACACGATTAAAGAGATTACTAACTCGAGAGCTTATTTATAATAGTAACCCTATCAAAAAATTGTCATAAATATTTTATAAAAAGCGAACATGATATGGGGGATCCGGTCCTAATTTTAAATCTTAGAAGATTCTGGGATTCCAAAAATATTAAAAACGCTTCTAAAAAAAGCTTTTTGATTTTTGAAATAAATTATATTATGGATGGCTGAGTATTTTCCCAGTTATTTTCACATGATGCCACCACGGTCGAACCTCTACCACATGGGCTGCCGTCATCGTTATATATCACTGAAAGGCGCTAGCTAAACCATATGCGTCACCCCCTTCAGTTCAGATGACCTTCCATGGATTTTATTGTCAAGGGATCCTATTTTTATCATAACCCTACCAGAAAATACAACCTTTACCCATTATCAGGTAGGTCTGGTGACGAAACAACCTTATAAGACTTATACCTTGGGAGTTACCATTCTTATATAAATTGTAAAGATGATGACTGTCATATCTATATTATTAAAATCACCTGGAAATTGAATCTAGCCTCTAATCCTAATGATAGATTGGCCTAAAACTATGGCATGCAATACAGTCTATTTTTACTGGTAATCCTATTTCTAGGTTAATTTAATCTACTAATAACTGATTAATCACTTTCTTATAAGATAAGGATTCTATCATTTAAAGACATAAGATAGTATCTATTATAGACCTATCAGCGAAGGCTAAGTTTCTGTTGATCTCTGATTTCATTTACATTTAGTTATTCTTTAAACACAGTATTTAGACATAATTAATGTTAATTAATAGATTAATTGGTCAATTATTAATGCATATTAATCTATACATCTACATGTTCAGTTATAATAAAATTCTTATAAAAATTATACAGTTTTATGCTTCAGTTAAGACCTGAACTTATGATTATTATAATATAACTTATAAAAGAAGTTCAGTTATTACTAACTAAATTAGAGATGTTAACCTCTTTAAGTATTTTCTTTTGGTATTCACTAGAGCTTTTTTTAATAAATATACTATAATTCACATATAATAATTTTTGATAATATGATAAATTTCTACTGAATGTTATATTATAACTCAAAAATCATAGTTATTAATTTTAGTTAGTTTTATAGTTTTATATATTTATAAAATAGGAATTGACATATAAATTGATGAATGGAAAAAAAATTAACTTTAATCATATATATTTAGAAAGGCTTAATTCTATATTTCTTTAAATATATTCTTTTTTGAATATATTTTTATTTTAATTATAAATAAAATATATTTAAGAAAGTTTATAATACTAATTTTAATAATTGAAAATTTAAATTTTTTTTATAAAAGATAAGTATTGTAAAAAAAAATGAATTAGTTATTTTTATAATATTAACTTGTAGGTATAAGTTAAAGATTATAAAAATTAGTTTAAGTAATTTTATATAGTCTCTAATACTTTTGAATCATTTTTAAATTTGTTTTAGAGGCTAATAAATTAAGATATATTTTTACATTATTTCAGATTTCTATATATAAAAAATAAATAATTATTTAATGTAAGTTTTGATAAAAGAGTATTTTAATATGAAATTTTTTGGTAAATAAAAAATATTTTGTTAAAAAATTATTTAATATAAATGTTATTTTAATACAAAAATTTTTTATAGATAAAGTATATTAAATACTTTGCAAAATCAAGTATTTAACATGATATAAAAAATTATGCTTATATAATTATATTATGATTGATTGTTTAGTAATTTTATAAAATATTATTTAATAGTTATTTTTATAAATTATACTTAATTGTAGATCATTTCATATAACTATACAAAATTCAATATATTTTTCATATTTTATAATTATTTTATATCACTTAATTTATTTTAAAAAAGATTATATATATAAAAATGTATCATATTATTTAAGATAAAGACCTTGTAACTTTTTCTAAATTCTTTAAGATTAGCATTATTGTTAAAAATAATAATGGTTTATTGTCTCAAATTTCATTTTTTTATATTAAAATAAATAATCATTTAAATCTAAAAAAAAATTTCTTAATGTATAATTCTATAGTATTTAATAGAATTTTTATAATTTTAATTGATTATTATAAAATGAATGAATATTATAAAATAATTTTTAAGAATAAAAATATATATTTTTTCAATTTAAGTAACTAAAAATATACTTTTTTTTATTAAAAAATATCACCTTAAAGATCTTTTTCAATTAATCTTCAAAATATTTTATCTGTAAAATACTTGTAAAAGAATTATATTGAAAAAATTAAATTAATAATATCAATTATTTTTTGTTAAAGATTTTTTTTAAGGTAATAATTTATTAAAAATTATAAAAAATTTGATTTTTTATCAAAAATTTTTGAATGTTTTTTGAAGTTAAAAAGTTTATAAAAGTAGTTATTGGAGAAGTAAAAAACATAAAATTATATATTGACTAAAGTTTCTTTTTCTTTTTTTTTAAAAAAAGTATATTTACTTCTATTGTTTCTGAAGTTTCTTTAAATTTTAATTAAAACTACTATTTTCTTATATTAATTCAGCAGTTTGTTGAATATTTTATCTTTTTAGGTTATTATTATAATTTTATATAATAAAATATGAGTAATTAGTCTTTTTTAGTTTAATTATTTTTTTTTATTTAGGTATATTATATTTATATTATTATAATAAATCATTAAAATATTTTTTTTTTTTGATTTTCTTTTTAATAAGTATTTATTAAATAATTAAACAATTTCCTTTTTAAAATAATTTTAATATTTATAATTATTTTTGATAAGTTTATTTGATTTAATATATTGATGAATTATTTTTAATATACTTTTTGAATTTATTTCTAATATAAATAGGAAAATTTATATAAATAAGCTTAATTTTTCATTTTTAAAATAATAATTTCAATTTAAACTTTATCTTTTACAATTAAATAATTAAAATATTAATAAAAAAATAATTTTAAGAATAAAAAGAATGTAAGTTAAATAACTAGCTAACTTATTAAATAATAAATTAATATTTTTATTTTAAGTTTGTACTTCTTTATGTTTAAAAAGCTAAATAGAATAAAATATTAATTCAGTTAATAATAAAATTGGTTAAATTTATTATTTTATTTTATAGTATTTTAATAATGCTATTTTTTCAATAAAATATAATAAATAAATTTATCAAACAAATTACATTTTTATTAAATAATTATCAAATTTATTTTAAACTTAAGCATATATAAAGACAATAATAATATTTACCGTAAAATCTTGAAATTAAGCACCTCCCGAAAATAAGCACCCCTGCTACTTTTGCCATAGTGTTTGTAAAAAC